GAATGTGAGGTGACTGAAGATGGAAAGGCCAACCAGCATTCCAATGTTTGGTCAGGCAACAAGAGCTTGACATGTGCTGTTCAGTTGATATAGTGGTGGGTGTAGTGCTGGTTGGGTCAGGTGTTGAGATCTTGATTTGTGATGTTCAGGTGATATGGAGGTGGATATGGGTGTAGTTATGGGTACTTGAACAATTGTATTTCAAACACTCACAAACAAACCTACAACATGGGCAGTACATGGTATCTTCAGATCTAGCCAGACCAAGTAAGCCACAGCCTGTTACAGGTCTGCTGTACTGCACATCACCTGTATTTTAGTGTGGCACTGGGGGGCAGGAATGTAAAAAATTGTGCCAATAGGACACAATTTTTCTTGAATAGCTGTAATTTCCTTTGATCTATAATTGTTTTGAATCTTTCTGATTGATAAGTGTAATTTTACATACATAAATTTGAGACTCATAAAAATTCATGATAAAATAACACATTTACATTACCTACAGTAGTGTAAAATGTGCATGAGATCAAAAGATTTAATCTAAGCTAGCTTTCAACCTTACAGCACTTATACTTCCTAAGATAATTGGATGTATCAGTCAAAAACAGCCTTAAAATCAAACCTTGGAATCAGGCCTTGGGGGTACAAATGAGTTTGCGGTGAGAGAAGTCGGGAGCCTTGCAGTAGGCTGGTTTGATAGCCCTAGTACATGTACATCTTTTGAAGTACTCTGGACCTTGAGGCAAGGAGTGGTGTGACTGTGTGTTGTGCAGAGACCAAAAACTGAAAAACAGCTTTTGTCACACACCTCTCTAGGTGCCTTCCTGGGCCCTGCCCAGTTAACCTTAAAAAACTACTCCGTATTCAAAGGCGCGTGAAATTTGGGTGTATAATTTAGTCACAGTTAGATACAGTCGTAAAAGAGTTTTCCTCTTGCAGGCGTGCCGGCATATTCTCTAGTATATATAATATTTCCAAAGAAAAGAATGAAAACATTCACAAACGAAAAGTAAAGAAGAGAAACAACAGATAAAAGGGATAATGATATTTAATAAAGAAAAAAGAAAAACCCTCCACAAAATAAATCAAATGAACATCTATACAAAACATCAAAAAGAAAAAAAAGAACATGGACCCATTATTCAGAAACCTCGTTTTTTTTGTCAACTTTTTTCTTGTCTTTTGTCACGTTCTTGCTCTTCTTCTCTTTCAAGTGAATGAGAAATCAAAAAAAAGAAGGAAAAAAAAGTTTAAAAGAAATAAGAAAGAGTCTTCCTTTTTTCAAAAATTTAACAGATCTTATCAACAAAAAAACAGATGAAACAAAAGTATTAAACAGAAACAGAACACCAGAAAGTATATATTCTCTTTGTATGGATGTAACATCACACGAAAGAAAATGATATCAGACAAGTACAGAGAGGAAAGGAAATGAGAAAAAACAAAGGAGTTTTTTTGGAGGGGCGGATTGGATTAGTTACCCTAAGGAGAGAACAGATTTAAGCACATCACATGTAGAAAAACAAGAGAGCAAACTAAGAAGGAACTCTTTGAATAAAATCTGTGAGTGACGGACAGAAAGTTGGTAGGGGGAGGGCTACAGACTTTTTTTCTGGTGGAGTGGCAGATTGGAGAGTTGGTAGGCATAAAAAAAGAAGCGACGAGGATAATTATGTGGAAGAAATAAATAAGAGGGAAAAAATTTGAAGAGAGTGATAAGGTATGCAAGATAAAGGAAAGTGAAAGGCTTGATGTGGTAGAGGGAGTGCATGAAATCAGCAAAAGGGTGACCAAGTCCGATCGTTCGAAAATTTGACTTGCGCACGACCGAAAGAGAAGAGTGACTGCGGAAGTGAAATCAAGTCAGACTTTAGTGATGTAATAAACCAAACTCGGCTGAAAAGAAATCGCTCACATTATTCAAACCAACCAGAAGTAAATCGTTAGAAGAACAAAATTTCACCCTTCTCCTATTAAATAGCCACACCATCGAATCCCACACAGGATCAGTGATCTCCCCCCACTTTATCAAGTCTAGAAAAGCCGGATGGGCAGAAATTGATGGTGCATGATGTAAAGCGCAAGAAACATTAAGTGGAAAAGGAAGTATGATGAGAGATGATAACAACATAAGAAAAAGCTGAAGATGACATGGCAGCGCACAACGAGAGCAGAAGGAATGAATTGAAGCAATGAGGTTGTAACATGGAAAAAGTTAAGACCAAACAGGTAGCATAGAGTTGATTTTCGCAAAACATCTGAGATCACCACCAACAATCGAGAAAGTCGGTATGAGAGTCCATCATGTTCGCGAACCACGTAGAGTCGAGGGATTGAGAACTGAGACCTGAAAGCCACAATCACAAGCATAATCATCCAGATAGATGAGCTGAGAAGACGAAGTTGAAGCAAAATGAAGATCGGTTCGTATCTTGAGAATACAGAAGGGTGATTTACAATACAACTAAAACACTTCGTCTCGCCTTCAAGCCTCTACACTGGATGATTCTTCTCGCGCCTTCTTCAGGGCTTGACTCCGGGCGAAAATACTAGCTTTCAAAAACCTGCGGTTGGCATATTTCTTGTAAACAAATCGCTCTTCAAATCCATCCGTTGACAAGAACTCTAGCAAGAATGACATTGGCGTAATCAACTGAGCCTCGGTGTAGCCGGAGTAGAAGATGAAAGCATCACTCTGGTAACCATCATGTCAAAGATAGCCAAGTTAGTCCAATGATTGATCCACCATGAGGGTGTTCGAAATCTATCTTACCCAGTTACCTCCAAGCATCTTGCGGGCGGTGTACATTCCAATGGCTGCGATCATACTGGATTTTGCCCGAAGAAAGCGATGATCGAGCAATGTCAATTCCATCAAGAATTTGGATAATGTCCGGGTTTGGATATCGTAATCATCAGCTTTACTGATCCGACGTAACCATGAATAAGGCGAACAGTAAGGCGAAATCTTGAAATCGAGCGTCTATAGATATAAGGTGATCAGGTAAATGCAAAATATTGCACGTGATATAAAAGCATCAGTCTTACAGTCAAAAGAATCTTTTCTCCTTTGAGAATCTCTTCTCGAGTATAACCATTCTCAGTCATGTATACAAACTCTTCCACACTCGGTGCCATGATCTCCTCGTACTTGGCAGCCACAAACATGGCGGTAACACCGACCAACTGGAATTTAACCAAGCTGACAACTCGTTTTGATAAGAATCGATCAATGATATTGACAGCAATCCAAAGGGTCTCGGGCATCATGTGATAACGCATGTGAACTTGAAGTAGCCAATCAATCAAAGTTGTCCGCATGTCCCATTCAATCTCAGTCTGCGAATCCATGTATCGTGGGTTGGGGAGGGTAGACTCCTGTGAAGACGATAGAAACGCAAACACATCAGAAGAAGCTTGAGAATAAAAATCAAGATGAGAATGCGAACCTCAAGCTCTTCCATATACTTAAAAATATCTTCACTATATTCAGCCACCATCGTCGTATCCCAGTAGTCCAGCTCTTCTTGGAAATCACGTTTGATCGCCTCAATCACTGCTCTACACTCGACTTCTTCATCAGAACCAAGCAACAACCAATTGGTAAGATCTTGAGATCCTCGTAAATTATCGTCAACATTGTTGCGACATAAGCTCAGCTCATTCTCATCCGAGTCCATCGCCTGGTGAACTGAATCCTCAAACGCTTCATCTTCTTCCAAATCCTTCTCAGACGTATTAGCCAAGTTTTCTGCCTCAGCCGCCGCAAAGACCGAATCTGGTAAGGTCACCTTTGCATCATCTTCCACCTTGATACCAACCGGATCGATCATCATTTCTTCTTCCTCTTCCACTTTGATGTGGGAGCCAGGCATGTCATCATCATTAATCAGTGTCTCAAATTCGTCCATCATGACTTCCTTGTCTTCTTCCTTCACAAATCCAGACGCCCAAGGTGCTTGACCGGCACCACCGACACTAAGACTCTTCGTGATCGATTTCCGCTTCTGTGCTGGCTCGAGGACACTCTGTCCAATTGCCGATCTCGAGCGAAGCCCAGCCACTAGACGTTTTCCAGCCTGTCCACCAACGGTGGCAGCATGGGTAGATGCGACAGTGAGACCTTTGCCAAGTGCGGAAGATAGACCGGTAGAAGCCGCGGGCTGTTCGAGCGAGGCTGAGCTTGCCACTTTGCGCACTCGTGCAATCTTCGCAGGAGGCTTGACATCCTAAAAGACGCGAGTAACAAGTCAGTCAGTGAGGCGGTAAAGACAAACAGAATGTAAAAGAAAGATAGGAAAACAAATGAGGACTGACCTTTGACTGGGTGGTAGCCACAGCATTACTGACATCGCCTAGAACTTTTCTGGTGGCAGGGATGACGCCAGGTGGGGCTGAAGATTTAGAAGGTACGCGGCCCTTATGAGCTGCTCCAGCTAGACCGAGTCCACCGGCTGCATTCTTGCTACGTTGAGGTCCGACCAGAGATGTCGGAGCGTTTTCGTCTGCCAAAGAGACTGATCGAGATTGACCGTGACGAGAGACGACAACGCGACGAGGAGGCATGTCGAAAGGTGATTAGATGAACAACTAGGTGATCGAAAGAACGAGAAAAAGCAGTCAATCAGCGTGATCAAAGAGATCAAAAGGTAAAGGATAGAAAAGAGCATGTCCTGAGAACCAACAGAGGAAAAGAGAGTGATAGGTAAACAAAGAATGTTATATTCTTTGAGAGTCTCTAAGATGAGATGAGAAAGGTAAGACGAGGTGAAGAAGTTAGTTAAAGAAGATATCTCAAAGCTTGAGAGATGAAGAGTATATGATGAGAAAACGAATGAGGAGTTAAACCCAGAAGACCACAATCGAGTCAGGAAGGTCAAGATGAGAAAAGGTCGGAGGTAAGGAGAAAGAGGAAAAGGAGGAGGACGAAAGACAAGGAAGAGTGAGGTGAGATAGGTAAAGCCTAGGAGATGCGGGTGTAGCGCGAGATGGAGAAATTAAGGAATAGTGAAAAGAATAATTTTAGCTAGGTAGCTAGGTGTTTAGGTGTTAATCAAAGTAGGTTTAAGAAGTGGAGGGTGGCTCTAATGTGTAGCTATAGGGAATTAATATAGAGTCGCAGGAAGGCAGGTGAAAGAGAGTATACAGGTTTTCTGATTAAGTAGAAATGACAGCAAGCGAAGTATGGTTTCTTGTATAGCATTGCTCGGTGGACTGTAGAACTCCTCAACTTGTCTGTTGGCGCGCGTGTCTGGCAGTATGGGTAGTTGAAAAACCAAGTGTAGAAGGATCATCAAGTATATAATCGTGGAATGATGTTGATTGAAGGTGAGAGGTTGTGAAGATTGAAGAGTTGCAGTATGAATAGGTTGAGTGGGACATCAAAGAAAGACAAACTTACAAGCCAAAAGATCAAGTTGAAATGAGTCTGAAATTGATTAATCGAGTAGAATTCGGAGGATTAATGATCGAATGATTCAAAGGCGCTGCCTGCTTAGAATTGAGGCGGAAAGCGAAAGAGAAGGAGACGATTTGAATTAGAGGTAAGTCGAGAGTGTGTTGATGATGGTAGGTTGGTTTTGATGGATGGATTGATGAGGAGATGAGCAAGAAATGAAAGGAATGAGTTAGACGAGAATCTACTGCAGACCAGCTGATGAGTGTGTGAGCGAGTAGAGAACGTCAAATTATCGAGATGGGTTGAGGATAGAGAGGGTGATGAAGAGAAAGTGAGTGGTTTGAAGAAGAGCAAGTCAGTCTCAAGTCACAGACCATCAGATTGAAATATTTAAGCCTGATAAATAATAGAGTAGTACTGAGTGAGATGAATTGACTTGAAAGGGTTTACAAACTTACCCAACAATGAATGAGTGAAATTGAGTGAGCGATGTCAAATTCTCAGCTTCAAGTTCAAGGATGGTGAGTGTAAGAAAGTAGATTAAGAACTTTAAGCTTCAGGCTGAGCTTCAAGTTGAGGAAGATTTGATTGGATGAGTGCTTGGCTGATCCCAAGTCAAAGGTGATGTAGTCTGTAAGTGATGGTGATGTTGATTTTTTTTTTTGTAAATTTTTATGATGAGGATGATGAAAAGTATTATGAGAATTATTAAGATGATAGTATCGAAAAACAAATGATATCCAAACAAATTCGTTTATAAAGTTCAAATCGTCAATTTTTTTTCTTCTTCTTTGTCAAATGAATTTAATGGCCTCTGATGATACCTTCTTTACCTTACCGCACCATCCCATTTGACTGACTGTGTGTCTTAAATTCTGAGTGAAGCGGTTTGACGAGGAGTTGATGATGATTGATCAATCTCAACTGTCAGTCTTGAATCCCCCCCTGGTGTGAGAGATGCATCAGACCGCCACCTGTAAAGATGCACCTAGTGAAAATAGCAGTAGCTTCTAGCTCTTCACCAAGAGCTATTCCAAAACGCACTCATATGGGATGCTTCGTTTGGATGCACTCACGTTCTCACCACTCATTCGTAATCGTATCAATCAGGAAGACAGGAGGGGAAAAAATAGCTCACCAAGCTCAACCTCACGGCTCGTCAAAACTGTCATGACGTGTTCCTAAGCTCTCCGTCATCCGATCAGGTCAAATTTCAAATCCCGGTCTCAAATGTGTTTTTTTGAACTTTTTTGATTCTCTTCTGACCGACCGCGCAAAGTCTCAGCATTTGTAAAATTAAATATTTGGGACTCTCAAACCTTCTTCTCTCTCTCTCTCTCTCTTTTAATATTCGGTGGTCTCTTGCTGAGATGATTATATGATACAACAGAGAAACTTTAAAGAGTTGTACCTTATTCTGTATGGTATCTTCGTCCCAGCTTGTGCCACAAAAATCAACAAACATCAAATTAACGTTTCAAGGCTTGAAAAAATCCACAAACGCGTCCTAGGCACATCAAGCGGAAGAACTAAACCATCACATCTCTGTATCCAAGCAAGCGTATCAAGGGATTCAACACTCAAGAGCACGGCATCCAGCGCTCTCCTTGAAAAAAGACCACACGTTAAGACTCAAATGGAAGTCTAAACGCCGATCAACGGGAAAATCAATTGAAGTTTTGATTTAGCCTCACACACCCCCACCTACAATCATTCAACTTTACCACCCTTTCTGTAATCACTTGATTAAAAGCTTGGATTCAATAGACACAAAACCACTTGACTTTAACCACTTCTCGTCCGTCGGATTTGTTTTGATTGCGGGTTTATTCCGAGAAAAGTGTCATGATACAAGTCAAGATTATCTTATCTCCCTCTCCCTCTCTCTCTCTGTCTCTCTTTATCAAAGCATTTGAAAATCGATATCAACGTACAAATGAAGAACGGACATGTGCGGAGCAATTGTCCATTTATTCTCCGAGACGGCGATGGAAAAAAAATACATAGTAAGATCGGAGAAGTTTGATTGAAGTTTTCTCAAGTCTCTTTAATTCCCGTCTTCTTTGCTCAAGTCATTGAATTTTTGTTTTTAATTATGTTGGCAATGAAGCTGATATATACGATAAAATTTCACACCCATTTCCTCTTTATTTTTTTATTGATAACCTTTTTTGACACCGATGAAGAAGTCATGATTGTTATGTATTTGATAAAGTTGTGTTCTCTAGTAAAGATACAACGTGTGATTTCTTTCTTTTGCTCATAGATCAAATGATGGGAAGGTAAAGGTTGTCCATGTATGCTCTCTTCTCTTCTCTCCTTGTATCCAATCCTGCAATTCTCTTTGACTCGTACTTCTTCCAAAATCACATAGAGTCAGCAACAAATGCGTTGTATGTATAAATCAGTATGTGGAAAGTCAAAAATGAGGCGTCTGTTTATGTGTAACTTTAAGAAGAACTCAATGGTGTATTTTTTTGTTTTTAAGCTTTGGGTTTGGTTGCCATGTGCAAGAACTTTGACCTCAGTTTATGCGAACGATCAAGGCTTGAGGAAAAAAAATGGTGGGTGTGTTCTGGTCACAAGGTGGCAGTACCCTCGGTTCCGGTCATAGTCCGTTCTGCGAGAGTCTGCGTATACCACATTTTTAGCACCAGTGAACTCATGTGAAGATTAATGCAAAAATGTACAAAATTATGACTAGTCATACAACATCATATGTTTGAATACAGACTCTAGGGGTCCAAAAATAGGAGGTACGGTGATGCTGGGAAAAAAAAGTGATCATGAGGCTGGGTTGAATTTAGGTAATTGGGGAAAGCAGAGCATGAGGTCACATATGATATGGAATGAAAGGGTTTGGGTTTTGTGAATAGTAAAAGATGCGAAAGCATCAGTGAGACTTGGTGTAAGAATGATTGAAATCTTGTTATTCTTAGGTTACGTTCGGCTGGTGCATTTTAATGTACCTTAAACCGATAATGTACATTAAAATCTTAATTTAATGCACATTAAAAAAATGCTGTTCGGCAGAGTTTTAATGCAGAATTTTAATTGGCTTAAACTGCCGAAAATGTACCAAAACGTGATTTAAAAATAATCGACTCTACAGTCGATTAT